CGAGGTATGACTGTCCTTGCACTGGCATGTTTTAGAAATGCCACATTGACAGGACCTGGGACAAAGCAACAGGAGCTCACCCTGTTGCGCGGATTCGAACCACCACCGACCTTCTGATTGGCAAGCCCAAGAGGCTCGGTGGTTTAAACCACAGTGCCACCCGTTTTGCAAGGCTGTTGCGTGCCCATGGAAAGGTAGGAGAACCATTCCTCCATCTTGACCAGGGGTCGGCAACGTGCATCCCATGGGCTGGAAGTGGCCCGCGGAGGCCGTTTAACCGGCCCACGAGCCGACCCAGAACCCAGCCGCCCGCTCGGCAAGTCCCAACGTGCTGCGCTAAACCAGCACAGTGCGGTGCAGGGACTCTCTTCCGCGGCTCCGGAAATCGCTTCTGCACATGCCCAGATGCCAAAATCGCTTCTGCGCAGGCACGGTTTCCGGCATCTGGGCATGTGCAGAAGCAATTTCTGGCGTCGCGCTGCACTGGCCTGGCCCACGGAGGATCTTTGTGGAAGTGATCTGGCCCAGGAAGGTAAACCTTACCGACTTCTGGTCTTGACCTTCTCCCCAGACTGCCACACCTTTTACGTATATGATGGGAGGTTTGTTATGTGGAAGAGCATTCTGTGCTCCAGTACCCCCACCTGAAGCTTGATGTGGTATAATTTACACAAAAAAACAAAACATTTTTCACGTGTTTTTTTCTGCATGTGTAGAGTATCTCTTTTTTGTATGCTTCCACTGTGGATCGCCATTATGATGACATTCCTTAGTTGCATGGCAGGTGTATTTTAGGATGCAATAATTGTCTCTGAAGAACACCCTCCATGCCAGCACTCAATATTTGATATCTCCAGATACAGCAATATTTCAATGGGATTTGTGCTGCATCACTGTTCCATTGCTGATCAAGAGCGACACATTTTCCTTCTGAGGGTATAATCACCGATAGCTCAAAAGGGAGAAATGAGCAGGCAGAGATGCAGTCCAGAAAACACACACGCCTTCACTAGCAAATGATTTTAAAAGATCTACCTGAGGACTTTGAAAATAGCTGTACGTCTGAAACACACTCATCTGGCTATAAACAAATCTGTATCTCTCCAAAGATGCAGGAATACTTTTGCCCAACATGAGGTTCAGACTCACGACCCTGAGATTAACAGTCTCATGCTAGGCTGCAAAGAGTTGCTAAGATGCCTTCTTCTTCTTCTTCTTCTTCTTCTTCTTCTTCTTCTGCGATCACTCGTAGCCAAGTAAGATTGTCTTCCATAAACATGGTTTTAACAATGAGTCTGTAAGTGACTATGGAGGCCAATTCTGGATCCACACGTCCTTCCACAGAGGGGACATAGGTTTCTGGGCAGGAGTTGATCACGGTGTGGATTTGCCAAGTGTGCCTTCCTTTTAGCACATTTCTCCCTTGCATCCTGAGATCGAGTGTCTTCAAAGCCCATGACACCTTTGGTAAAGGCTGTTCTCCAATTGGAGCGCTCGCAGGCCAGTGTTTCCCAATTGTTAGTGTTTATACTACATTTTTTTAGATTTACCTTGAGAGAGTCTTTAAACCTCTTTTGTTGACCACCAGCATTACACTTTCCATTTTTAAGTTTACATTATACATTATTTACAGAATGGGCCCCGTGTGATTGGCTAATTCTGGGCTGCTCCTGCAGGCCAATCAGGCCACTGATTCACTTCCACCTGGAGCTGGATTGGGTGGCTCCTACGGACCAATCAGACTACTGCATTCTGGATCCTAATGCACTATTTTATTGTTGTTAGCCACCCTGAGCCCGGCTTCAGCTGGGGAGGGCGGGATATAAATAAAATTTATATATTTTATTATTAATAATAATAATAATAATAATAATAATAATAATGTTCTAGGATTCAGGTCAGTACATAAGACATTGCTTCGACACTGGTGATCTTTGCTTCTTCCAGTACACTGGCATTAGTTTGCCTTTCTCCCCAAGTGATGTGTAAAATTTTACGGAGACAACATTGATGGAATCTAAGACAAGTGTTTCTCTCTGTGTGCCTGGGTTTCTTATTGGCTCTCACCCCTTCCTTATGCTGTGACGTAAGCCATTGGCACTGTGGGTTAAACCACAGAGCCTAGGACTTGCCGATCAGAAGGTCGGCAGTTCGAATCCCGGCGATGGGGTGAGCTCCCGTTGCTCGGTCCCAACTCCTGCCAACCTAGCAGTTCAAAAGCACGTCAAAGTGCAAGTAGATAAATAGGTAATGCTCTGGCGGGAATGAAAAGGTGTTTCTGTGCGCTGCTCTGGTTCACCAGAAGCGGCTTAGTCATGCTGGCCACATGACCCGGAAGCTGTACGCCGGCTCCCTCGGCCAATAAAGCGAGATGAGCGCCGCAACCCCAGAGTCGGCCACAACTGGACCTAATGGTCAGGGGTCCCTTTACCTTTTTAAGCCCTTCCCATAGTCCCCCTGACTCTCTTTAGAGGCAGCTTGGTGGTGACAGAGAGAGGTGCAGCCTGAAGGCAGGATCCCAGAATCCCCACTGTGCTACAAAGGCCTCCCCAGTGACTTTTCTGTATTTTGCCCTTTATTTTCAAGCAAGGACAAGCTGCTTTTTTCTTTGTAAAAATTTCCCCGTGATGACAGGAAGAACACCACAAGATGAATGATATTAATTAAATCTTATTCATACCACTGTGTTGACAGTGCTGGTTGCATGGCTGACAAGAAAATAAATGAAGGGAAGGCACAACAAGGGCAGGGGCAGGTTAAAAATAAAAATCGGCTGCAAGCGCCCCATGCATTTAAAGCACATGACTCAACCCCCCCCCCCCCAAAAAGAATAATGGGAACTGTAGTTTAAGGGTGCTGAGAATTGTAGCTCTATGAGGGTAATCTTCAGTTCCCAGAATCTTTCGTCTGGGGAGGGAGTTTTGTGTTTTGAAATTTCTATTCTGCTTTTGAGTGCTCAAAGCTTTTTGAAGCATACCTGGATAGCTCAGTTGGTTAGAGCATGGGGCTAAAAATGCCAAAATTGTACATTTGTTCCCCGTATGGGACAGCTGCATATTCCTGTATGGATCAGTTTTTCCCCACCCTTGGGTCACCAGCTGTTTTCGGACTACAATTCCCATCATCGCTGACTACCAGTCTTGCTAGCTAGGGATGATGGGAGTTGTAGTCCAAAAACAGCTGAAGACCCAACGTTGGGAAACCCTGGCCTAGATGACCCTTAGGGTCCCTTCCAACTCTACAATTCTATGATTTATTGCGCTAATCCTTACAATAACCCTATAAATTAGGTTGGCATTAGTATCCCAATCAGGCTAATAACTACCAGCCCACTCACCAAAGGCAAGTGCAAACTGGTTGTGGTTGAAGGTAGCCTGTATCTAGTGAATTGGAGCCCATTTGTGGATAACTGTACAGTGGTACCTCGGGTTACATACGCTTCAGGTTACAGACTCTGCTAAGCCAGAAATAGTGCTTCAGGTTAAGAACTTTGCTTCAGGATGAGAACAGAAATCGTGCTCCAGCGGCGCGGCGGCAGCAGGAGGCCCCATTAGCTAAAGTGGTGCTTCAGGTTAAGTACGGACCTCCAGAACGAATTAAGTTCTTAACCCAAGGTACCACTGTATGGGCAAATGCATGAACTGTCAGCACACACAACCTCAGGGGCAGAACTAGTTGGCACAGCCCCACTCCCAGATTGATTGACACAGGATGCTTGTGCCATTATTGCATACGATAATCATTTTACGTATATTGAATAAGATGAAGCTAGCAGTAATACATTTTTAATACCTGGCTCTTTCATTCCAACACTTCATTTATTTAAACTAACCTAGCTATTCTTTTTTCTTTTCTCTTTTGGCTTATCTGCCCTTCCCAAAGTCTTCCATAGGAGAATTATTTCATATGCAGTATTTTATTTCCAGTTCTCTAACAATGGGAATAGTTGGGTTTTCTCCAGTGCTATTTTCTGGGGGTACACAAAGGTATACATAGTACCAGCATGTGGCGATCACACACAGGGGCCCCGGACGTTTGACAGTCTATTGACCCCGTGCCGCCACTGCGATTGCTTTTCCTGCTGCCACCACCCCGTATCTCACGGGCACACACAGAGTCCAGTCAGTTGTTAACATAAACAAATAATCAAGTTTATTTTTAAATGCAGGAACAAGCTTATGGTTTCAGTTAATTTTTCTCTTATCAGTTTCTTATTCTTAGTTCCTAACAACTCCAAACTGATTATTCCAACTATCTGACTCCACCTGACAATTCCTCTCACAATACAACTCTACCAACCCACACCTAAACCTCAACCAACTCCCAAACCTCAACTCTACTTCAACTCAACTGAACTAACTGACTTTCAAAACCTCCCACTCTAACTTTTATTCCCCCCTTGCATTCTCACTGGCCAATCACATCACACCTATTTTAACCCTTATGACCCATCCGAGGAGGCAAACACCACACTGCACCTTCCCCACTCCACCCCCCCAAAAAACCTAAAAGTGTAGCCTTTACTGCAACGACTTCCTGGTGAGTACCAGCCCCTTAAAATAAAATAAAAAGTACTGCATTTATCTCATATGCCAGGGTGGGCAGGAAATGGGGGTGGAATGAATGATACTGAGCAGGAACATGGCAGGAATTGAAAATCTGCTTTTCAGGTTTGTTTGTTTGTTTGTTTGTTTGTTTGTTGTAAAAATATTTTGTTCACACATAAGCTTTAGCATTTCTAATTTAGTTAGGGTGCTTCCACCAGCCTGTCACTATTTTGGGGGGTGAATCAATCATATACTGGCAAATTCAGGTTGCACAATTATGGTCTTGGGAGGTCTTGTGCAACAAACTCATTTTCCCTCCCTCCAAATTTGAATTTGAATTTTATTATTTTGGTCACAAACCAGTTCCGGCCCACACAGAATATCAAGGAAGTCATAAAACACGATAGGGATACATAAGAATTTGCAATTAGCTATAACAGGGACAATACAGATAGCGTTGATCAGAACACAGAAAAACATGACTGCCTGCTGATTTAGTGTCTGCGACACCAGAGAGAAAACGAAAGCAACAGAAAACATAAACATCCTGTGAACAGGAAATACGCAGACTCTGACTCACAAAGCCTGCTCCCTTTTAAGGTGGAACGGAAATATCCTAACATCCTCCCCTTTCCGTGTAACCTGTAGTACCTGTGGTTCAACCCAATTGCAACCTTTGTACGTAAACCTTAAGTTGTTCTCTGTTAACAACCTTAGACAACAGATCAGCAGGAATTTCATTTCCTGGCATGTAGGACACCTGAATGAGTCCTTTCTGAATACACTCTCTTGCACGATGTAGCTTAATCTGCAAGTACTTGGTCCTTTGCTTGCAACTCTCCGAGTTCAGCAAAGCCAAACACGATCTATTGTCTTGATACACTTGTACAGGACATTTCACAGAAACTCCGATGTCCTTAAACAGTTGCATCAACCATTCACAATCCATGAGTGAAAATGACAGAGCATTGAGTTCTGCTTCACAGGAACTTAGGCTCACTGTCGTCTGCTTTTGCACAACCAGTCAAACAGGCAGTGGTTGTACATGTAGCATACTCCAGAAGTGCTTGTACCATCCGTGGTGTCACTTCCAAAACTTGCATCTGCAAAGATTTCAAGACCTCCAGTCTTCTGACTGGTGAACCTCAGCCTGTAGTGCAAAGTCCCTTTCAAATAGCGGGCTATGCGCTTCAGAGCTTTCCAATCCTGAACAGTAGGATTGTTAGCATGTCTGCTAAGCAGGTTACAGCTTACAGCTATGTCAGGTCTTGAGCATCTAGCAATGAAATTCAACTTGCCTAGAATGCATCTGTACAGCGTTGTGTCAGAAAACGCTTCAGCAGTACTGTCTACCTGGTAACCTGTCACCATCGGTGTGTCTGCTGGGTTTGCATCAACCAAATTCAACCTGGTTAATACATCAGCAATTTTCTGTGTTTGGTGTACCAGAAAATTACCTGCTTGGTCCTTCTCCACCTGCAGAGAAAGATAGTTGGATACCTCACCAAGATCCTTCATGTCAAAGTGCTCCTTCAGCTGAGCTAGGGTGCTTTGGTAGAAAGCCTGATTCTTCCAAAACATCAGAAGATCATCAACAAAACATAAACAATACAGTTTGTTTTGCCCTCCTCCTTGACAAACACACATGGATCAGCTTTGCCCTGGTGAAAACCTAGAGAAAGCAATGTCTCAGTGAGTTTCGTGTTCCAACACCTGGCACTCTGCTTGAGACCATATAAGGATTTCCGCAGTTTACAGACCATTCCCTTCTGTATCTGCATCCCGTCAGGTGGAAGCATAAACAGCTCCTCCTCCAAAATCCCGTACAAAAAGCTGTTTTAATGTCATGATGGGAAACATGCAGTTTCTCCTCTGCAGCTATCTTGAGCATCAGCCGAATGCTCTCATATTTGACTGTGGGTGAGTAGGTCTCGTGGTAATCCTGTCCTGGTACCTGTGAAAAACCTCTGGCAACCAATCTGGCTTTGTGTCTGACAACCTTGCCATTCTGGTCTGTCTTGGCCTTGAAGACCCATTTGCTGCCAACCAGTCTCATTCCTGGGACTACCGGTACCAGTTCCCAAGTTTGGTTCCTGTTCAAGGAATCAACTTCAGCCTTCATGGCATTAAGCCAAGGCTCAGCATCTTTAGAGGTTAACTCCTGAACCTCTTTGAAGCTTGAAGGTTCCCACACCTTCTCTGAGCTACTAAGAACAGCAGTTGCTGTCTTAGCAAACTCATCAGCAAATCTCTTTGGAGGTCTGCCCTTGGTCGCTCTCTCAGATCTGCGTACTAGACGCAAGTCTTCTGGACTCATCTCCTCCTTCTTAGGAGAAAAGTGACCAATGGTGAACAGTGGTTCTTCCAGTTCATTGTCAGACGCATCAGATGGTCTGACTGAGGCCTTTGCGCTCTTGTAGTCTGCTGTGTCATCACTGTCACTGACACCAGCAGCAGCGCCGCCCACTGAACTGGAATCCGAACTCTGATCATCATCGTCATCATCATCCTCAGCAGCTTCCTCAGCTTTAGCTGCTTCTTTGACATCACCTTCATCCTCCTCTGGGTAACTCTGGAAAATTCCCACATTTTCCCCCCACTTAGGATTGTACTCAACACTCTTTGTGAACTTAATGGACTTAGAGTTGGTCATCCATACCCTGTATGCACCTTTTCGTACCCCATGAACAAACCATGTGCCCCACGCTTCCCAAGCTTGTTGCTCTGTGGGGTGTGTACCCACATGTCAGAACCAAAGATTCTCATGTGTTTGATGTTGGGTTTCTTACCAAACATCTTCTCATAGGGGTACAACCAATAGGTGATGACAATCTGCGATTATAAGTGTAAGCAAAATTCGACAGAGCCTCCCCCCAATACTTATCAGGGAGATTGGCATCATGCAACAATGTTTTCATTCCTTGCAGCAACGTTTGATTTGCTCGCTCCGCAAGCCCATTCATCCATGGCGATCTAGGCGTTGACAAGTCATGCTGGATTCCCTTCTCAGTCAGGAAAGCTTCAAACTGCTGAGAAGTGAACTCCCGCCTCGATCAGTAAACAGACAGCCAATACGTTTACCGTGAACATTCTCCAACCAAGCACAGAATGCCTTGAACTTAGGAAACGCTTGCGATTTCTGCTCGAGCATAAACACATGAATGTACCTGGAAAAAGAATCAATTAGAACCATGAAGTACCTTGCTCCACCCAAAGAGGGCGCAAGTGGACCAACCAGGTCTGCGTGCACTAGCTGGTAGGGTTTGGAAGCCTGCCTGCTAGACTCCTTGCCTTTTGGAGCAACCTTCACCTTGTTCTCTGCACAAGATACACATTTCATGTGAAACTTACAGGGTTTGATGTTCAAACCCTCAACCATCTCTGGCATCTTGGCCAGCGCCTGCCAAGACATGTGACAAAATCTTCTGTGTGCATCATGAATGCATCCTGCATGAAGAACTTTGTTAGTTTGTGCAACACAACAAGAATCAACATTAGACACAACAGCACCAATGTCATCATAAGTTATACAGAACAAGCCATCCATAAACTTTGCATGCAAAATGTCCTCTTTGCCTTTTCTGATGACACAGACGCTCCTCTTGAAGGAAATCTCAAAACCACGCCCAGTCAGCTGTGGGACACTGAGCAAATTGTCTGCAGCGCCTGGAACATATAGTACATCTTTGATGGTAGTGTGCAGACTTGCCAGTTTCACAGTCCCTTCTCCTGCGATTCGCAACGTCTTTCCGTCAGCCAGGTGGATCTCACCTTCTTGAGGTTTGAAGGAGATAAAGAGGTGGCGGTCCTTTGAGACATGGCGGGTACAGCCTGAATCAACAACAAACCTGGCCTTGGCTTTTGGAGCAGCCTTTGCAGCAAGCAAAACCTTGTTTTCCACCGGCGTGGGCTTTTGCAGCTTGCCCCCCTGCTCCTGGCCATCAGACTTGCCTTTAGCCTTTGGTGAAGCTGTGCCAGTAAACAAAACCTTGTTTTCCACTGGCGTGGGCTTTGCAGCTTGCCCCCTGCTTCTGGCCATCAGACTTGCCTTTAGCCTTTGGTGAAGCTGTGCCAGCAAACAAAGCCTTGTTTTCCTCTGGCGTGGGCTCTTCACCCTCCCTCTGCTTCTGGCCATCTGCAGGCGTCTGCCTCTGTTTACCTTTGCCTTTCCGGCCTCTGCAAAGGCGATGACCTTGGCTCCCACGAGAAACAGAGCTCTCAGCTGCCGACTCCTTGGCTCCCCCTGGAGGCTGGAATGCTGCCTGGGATGACGTGACAGTCAGCTCCCCCTGCAGCTTGCAACCGGTGCCCTCAGCATCCCTGCATTCACTCGCATTCTGGGAAACAGCCAGGACCTCCGATGCAGTCAAACTCTGGGCTGGGATGACTGGCAAATGGGCTATCTTCAAAGCATGCCACATGTTACGTGCAGTCAGATTGCCAGCTAGCGTTTTTATTTCCTCCAGAGAGACGGACAAGACGATTACGTCTATCGCCCTCAAATTTTCGGACTCCCATCTTTCTGTCAGAGGAACTGGAGGGGCCTCACACACAGTATGCCACACTCCAAACTGACGCAGCAAGCTCTCACACCACACAGCCCAGGTCCCATAATTGTGCCGATTTAACTTTGGGCACGCAGCAGCCTCAGAAGCCTGGAAAAACTCCATTCCAGGTTTCTACTTGAGCCGTGAATCTTATTCACTTCAGAGACGTCTTATCTCGGCAGCTCATAAATCTTGAGGCCTTTGGCGCGGCTCCCAGATCCATTAATCTGCCAGCCGGACATCAAAGCTCTTGCCGCGGCAAACAGAAAAGCCTTACTTTCGCTTTTCCTCCACATACCTTTCAGCAGTCTGTCGCAGTCTTACTCTCCTGTAAGTGCTGTGAATCTGGGCCCGAAACCTGTTGTTGGGATACTGCCAGGGAGATAAAGTCCATCATGGCCCCCAAGCCGTCTGCCGGACGATCCATCTACCTCCCGTAGGCACTCAGCGACATGAGTTTCTAGAAAATATCTTGTCCACATTCCAGAGCTCATGCACGCTCTATCAGCAGATAATACACAGCATGAAGTTGCACCCAGGAGAGCATTATTTACAAGTTTATTCAGCGTTGATCAGAACACAGAAAAACATGACTGCCTGCTGATTTAGTGTCTGCGACACCAGAGAGAAAACGAAAGCAACAGAAAACATAAACATCCTGTGAACAGGAAATACGCAGACTCTGTGACTCACAGCCTGCTCCCTTTTAAGGTGGAACGGAAATATCCTAACAATAGCAACCGTTAAAAAATATATAAATTAAAACTTAGTCATTAGCATATAACCTAAAATTATCATTTAAAACCTTAATCATTATGAAAGCACAGCTTGTTCCCTAAGTTTTATGGTAACCGCACAGAATTTGGCTACCCTTAATGTGATCTCAGGATCCTTGTCCTATACCGGGGATTTTAGACATTGAAGTTTGCATTCATTTGGAGATTTTTGCATAGCAGGGGTGATAAATACCGAGCGTATATCCCCATAGAAACAGCAGCATAACAAGGCATGAGAGACAGTTTCTACCTCCATCAAGCCACAGGTGCAGATTCGTTCCGCGAATGGTTTACCCTCAAATCTGCCCTGCAATAAGGCAGATGGCAGCACGTTGAATCTAACGAAGGTAAATGACTGTCTGTATTTAGGTATTTGTAATTTTGACAAACCTAGACAGCATCTTAAAAAGCAGAGACACCACCTTGCCAACAAAGTTGGCCATAGTAAAAGCTATGGTTTTCCCAGTAGTAATGTATGAAAGTGAGAGCTGGACCACAAAGAAGGTTGATCGCCGAAGAACTGATGCTTTTGAATTATGGTGCTGGAGGAGACTCTTGAGAGTCCCATGGACTGCAAGAAGATCAAATGCATCCATTCTTAAGGAAATCAGCCCTGAGTGCTCACTGGAAGGACAGATCCTGAAGCTGAGGCTCCAATACTTTGGCCACCTCATGAGAAGAGAAGACTCCCTGAACAAGACCCTGATGTTGGGAAAGATGGAGGGCACAAGGAGAAGGGGACGACAGAGGACGAGATGGTTGGACAGTGTTCTTGAAGCTACCAGCATGAGTTTGACTAAACTGCGGGAGGCAGGGGAAGACAGAAGTGCCTGGCGTGCTCTGGTCCAGGGGTCATGAAGAGTCGGACACGACTAAACGACTAAACAACAAATTTGATCTCAGGGTCCTTGTCCTCTACCAGGGATTTTAGACATTGAAGTTTGGATTCATTTGGAGATTTTTGCATAGCAGGGGTGATAAATACCGAGCGTATATCCCCATAGAAACAGCAGCATAACAAGGCATGAGAGACAGTTTCTAGCTCCATCAAGCCACAGGTGCAGACTCGTTCCGCGCATGGTTTAATCTCAAATCTGCCCTGCAATAAGGCAGCACATTGAATCTAGCAAGGGTAAATGACCGTCTGTAGTTAGGTACCGGTATTTGTAATTTTGACAAATAATTTGCTGCTCCCTCCAAACTGTACTTTTTGTGATGAGGAAAGTGGTGGGGAAACGCACAGAAAAGTGTGGGATAGCACTTGGCTTTGGGACATCATCTAACCTTCCCATAAGCAAATCACAGCATGAACGCACCTTAAATACAGGTTGTCTAAAGGTAAAGGTAAAGGGACCCCTGACCATTAGGTCCAGTTGTGACCGACTCTGGGGTTGCAGCGCTCATCTTGCTTTATTGGCTGAGGGAGCCGGCATACAGCTTCCGGGTCATGTGGCCAGCATGACTAAGCCGCTTCTGGCGAACCAGAGCAGCGCACGGAAATGCCATTTACCTTCCCGCCGGAGTGGTACCTATTTATCTACTTGCACTTTGACGTGCTTTTGAACTGCTAGGTTGGCAGGAGCAGGGACCGAGCAACAGGAGCTCACCCCGTCGCAGGGATTCGAACCGCCGACCTTCTGATCAGCAAGTCCTAGGCTCTGTGGTTTAACCCACAGCGCCACCCGCGTCCCTTACAGGTTGTCTAGAAGTGCACTTAATTGACTCAAACAGGTTAGCTACTATGCCAGTGTGCATAATGGGAGTAAAGGTAAAGGTAAAGGACCCCTGACAGTTAAGTCCAGTCGCAGACGACTCTGGGGTTGCGGCGCTCATCTCGCTTTACAGGCCGAGGGAGCCGATGTTTGTCCGCAGACAGTTTTTCCAGGTCATGTGGCCAGCATGACTAAGCCACCTTTTAAGCATCGTGTTACCAGGATTAAGAAAACTATTATTATAATGGGTCTCTTGAACGCCATTTAGAGAAGACTGTGATCAAGCAATATACAAACTGTATACAAATTAATACTGAAATAAATAACAAACTATAGAAAAAAATGGTTAAAATAAGTATGAAAATAAAATATAAATATAAAAACTGAAAAAGCAAGGAAAAACAGAAGAAAATTAGGATCATAATACAAGAGGTGAACTCTAAGAGACAGAATGTAATAAAAAATTAGATTTAAAACAGAGTTCTAAACAGATTTTTTTCTGTGCTGTGGAAAAGAAAAGGGCACATTACTTTACAAGAAGCAAGAAAAAATATATAACTCTCATTTCACTTGTCTAAATTGTAAGGAAATGTCTTTCAAACATTTTACTTTTCCCTGCTTTTTTTCTGTTTTGCAGGTATATTTTTCCAGATGTTGGCTTTACTTGGCAGTACATAGGTCATCTGGAAGTACAGCAGGAAACTGCAGGAAATTATAGACATCGTCTTTTTTACAAACTGACGTTTCCATGGTTTTGAAATTCAAGTTGTGCCTTGTACAGTGGTGCCTCGCAAGACGAAATTAATCCGTTCCGCGAGTATCTTCGTCTAGCGGTTTTTTCGTCTTGCGAAGCAACCCTATTAGCGGCTTAGCGGATTAGCGCTATTAGCGGTTTAGCGGCTATTAAAGGCTTAGCGGCTTAGCTGCTAAAAGGCTATTAAAGGCTTAGCGGCTTAGAAAAAGGGGGGGAGCGGAAAAAAATCTCAAGACTCGCAAGACATTTTCGTCTTGCGAAGCAAGCCCATAGGGAAATTCGTCCTGCGAAGCGCATTGAAAAATGGAAAACCCTTTCGTCTAGCGGGTTTTCCGTCTTGCGAGGCATTCGTCTTGCGGGGCACCACTGTACAGGAAACAGCAAGCAGGTGGACTTGTTAGCTGCTCCTGTAGGCCAATCAGGTTATGGATTTACCTCCTCCAGAAGCCTGATTGGCTGCTCCTGCAGGCCAATCAGGTTGCAAATTCATCTCCTCCAGAAGCCTGATTGGCTGCTCCTGCAGGCCAATCAGATCGCTGACTCACTTCCACCTGGAGCTTGATTGGGTGGCTCCTGCGGACCAATCAGACTGCTGCATTCTGGATCCTATTGTTCTAGATTCAGCTCAGTACATAACAAGAGCTGAGGTGCTGTGTCTGCTCAACTTCCTATGCTAGTTGTACCATGGCTTGGAGCTCTTTGGCCCTGTGCTTTTGCAAGGCTGACCGCCATGTGCCCTGACCCCTGGGTTGGCTGCAGAGGTGGGAACTGGCTGGATTTTGTGTTTTGGACCCTGGACCTGTTGGCCTACCGGACTGCGCACTAGCATCTGTCATGGGATTGTGGACTCCAGCAGAACTTGCTGTCAGTTTGGAACACCCTGCTCTTCATTGCGCTTGGTAAGAGTTTTGTTCCATCTCTGAAGGCAAGAACAGCTTCAGGTTAATTTTCTCCTGTGAGAGAATGGCAATACAGTGGTACCTTGGGTTAAGAACTTAATTCGTTCTGGAGGTCTGTTCTTAACCTGAAAATGTTCTTAACCTGAGGTACCACTTTAGCTAACGGGGCCTCCTGCTGCCGCTGTGCGATTTCTGTTCTCATCCTGAAGCAAAGTTCTTTTTTAAATAAATAAATAAATAATTTTTATTGAAAATTTAAACAAAACATATTATCCAAAAACATATCATCCTTAATTTCTCCCCCATTTTTCCTCCTTCCCTCCCCCCACCCTCCCACACAAACCCCCACCCCCCTGACTTCCCTCAGTTCCAGTCTTTGGTTTCTCTGTAAATGCTGTTCTCTGTATGTTACAAAATTGTATTGATCCTTAAATTGTCCAACTGAATAAAAAGTTTGTGAATGTTTATTCAAAACCTGCCAAGGAGTCCAATTCACTTTGTTGCCTCTTCAAATACTTTGTAAAGGGTTCCCATTCATCTTTAAAGTCACAATTATCCTTGTCCCATAGCTTATGTGCTGAAGCAAAGTTCTTAACCCGAGGTACTATTTCTGGGTTAGCACAGTCTGTAACCTGAAGCGTCTGTAACCCGAGGTACCACTGTATGGAGCTAAGGCACTAACAGTACATAGAGTTGTCTCTTGCCAGACAGTCCTTAACTGTCATGATACATATTCTGGCATCTCCAAATGCAAGTTTATCACATAATTCTAACCTTGTGTGGGTGCTCTTCCCAGAAGCCACAGAGGACAACGCATGCTTGTAGAGGCAATAACTGTCAGAAGCCGAAACAGTAAGCAATGCAATTACCTCCACAGACAAATTTTCACTGGAGACAGATGAAATTATAATAGCTTCTAACAGAAATATAGAATTTACCAGATGGTACACAGAGCTGCTGGCTTGCTGCCAGAAGGACGCTCGTTTGTCAGACGCTGCCCTGAATTTCATATCCATTTTCAGAGCCAAGCACAGCAACTTGTCATATCTGCTTTGAGAATGTGTTCAGCTGCCAATATTTTCAAGTTTTAAATCTGTATCTTATGATAAACTATTCTGTAAAGTAATGAATGCGTAACTAAAACATCTTGATTCTATTATGGGAAAAGTGTCTTGCCGGGGACCTTTTTAAACAGGTACTTAGAGATTCCATAATCAGGGTATAATTGGCATATGACATAATAAGTATCATCTTGGGACCTGTGAATTCTGCCAGCTCCACCTCACCAGCTGTGGAACAAGTAATTCCATTAATTTTCTCTCAGTAGCGTTAAACAACACTCCATTATGAATCATTTTATGTCTTTAAATTCAGGACTATGCACAATCCCACCCGATCTTTGGTCACGTTCCAGTGTGACCAGGAGACTGCTGTGTGTGTGTGTGTGTGTGTGTGTGTACACACAAACTGGGGGCAGCCCATCCTGTCTCACCACCTGAGGCAAAATGGAAAGGTCCCCCACCTCTGCTTAAGCCTTGCGTGATTGCAGTTTCCGGTGAG